TATCAGAGCCTGTCAGCCCACACAGCCTCTGGGCACAGCTGCTTAGTGTTGTGATGGGGCTCAAAATGAGCTCTCCAGGCAGAATGACCTACCTTTGGTCAGACTGTGCCCACGCACAAAGCCTTTCCCCATCCCCAGCCAGTGTGGTGCAGAAGACAGTGCCCATGGCCTCTGAGGATGTGGGACAGTCCCGTGGGCACATCCAGCCTGCTGGAGATGCAGCTGTGCTCTCATACATCATCATTAGAGCTGCAAAGTCAAGCAGCAAAAGGAGGAATTGCCAGAATAAAGGCTGTCAGAGCAATTTTAATTCAACCTCCTGGCAGATATGCCTTCTGATGGGGTCTTTAATTACCTCATCACAGCCTACTTTTTCTTCAACAAGGCTGCTGCTTTATTCAGGGCACGATGGGCAGATGGCAATTAATGAAGGGCCAGTCAATATTTTGTTCTGTCCTTTTTTCATTCAGTGTGTGGCTCCAGGCATTATTTGCCACATGCCATCAAATCTCTGCTCTTAGAATTATTCATCTTCTTCTGGGCTTTTCTCTCATGTGTATCAGTGCAGCAATTGTGAGGTTCCCACATAGGAAGGAATTTCATTTCCAGCACTTCTGTGAGCAGAACACCTGGGTTTTACTTATAGGAAAATATGAGGCAGACATGAGCTGCAGAATGCTCCACCAGCAAGGCCCAGGTGGGATTTCTCAGGATACCCACACTGCCTCTGTTCAAAGCCCATCTTCCCTAACCTCTGCCAGAGCTGTTTAAACACTCAGGACATCTAGAATTTGAAATTCACTGTGTCCAGAATATGAGTAACATGGACCTGGTGGCTCTCAGAGAGAAAATGTCAGTGGTCTAAAGAGGAAAGATCTCCTCTGCTGATGCTGTGCTGGAGCAGGGCTCTGTTGCAGCCAGGGAGCCAGAGTGAAAGAACAGAGAAATGCTGATATGGGCAAAGGCATGAGCTTCAGGCAGTGAAAGCTGACTGGCATTTGTGCATTTTCCAACAAAAGTTCTGCTTTTCCACCTTAGTCATTCTCTGTAACAGCTGTACTCTGCTGTCTCTTAATCTCTTACAAATTTTTCATCTTTTACCAACCTCCTTTCAGAGGAAGACATTTCACACTTTCAACCCAAGAAATCTTAACCTTTCCTCTGGCACAAGCAGAAAGAGGTGAGAGCAGGACAGAGACTCTGCAAGAAGAGCTGCCTGTGCCACTGGCAGCATCAAAGGGAGCCCCACTCAAATGGTTTCCAGTGAGACACTGGGAGTGGAACTCTCTGGTGACAGAACAGCTTAGAAAAGGAACAAGAGGAGAGGAAGGGCATGAACCTCCATCGCTGTCCAACAGCCCCTTTCTGCACTGCTCTCTCCTGCTCTGTGCACACTTAACCCACCCTTAGAGAGCTGTCTCAGTGTCCAGGGCAGGCTCTCTGAGCCTCTCTCAAGCACAGCTAAGTGGCAGTGCTCTCTCCTCCAGCACCTTCTGCAGAGCAGCACAGAGCTCTCTCGTGCCCTGCTAGAAATTCATGGGCCTGCTGGCTTGTCACTCCAAAGAGCATCCAGCATTTTCAGCAAGGCTTTTAATTCATTAGCTCACAGAGGAAAATATTCTAACCTTCCTGCCCTCCTCAGCTGAGTCATTGATGCTTTCCTACCTTGCTGCAGACACATCACCTTCAGGAAAATAATTACTTAGCATGCAGATAACAGCAGACATTATCTTTGTGAACTGGGTGTTTGTTTGGGATCACAGGGTCTCCCTGCCACGAGGACTGCAGGACACACTGGGGTTACTGCTTCAAACCTGACCTTGTTTACAGGCTGTGAGAAACTCTGTGGTCACTCCAAGGGGAGCTGGGGGGATGCTGGAGGAAGCTCAGTCAGAGGGAAGGGGCTGAAGGTTCTCAAGGAGCTGGATGAGCTGTGCTCCATCACTGGAAGAGGTTGCCCAGAAAAGCTGTGGATTCCCCTGGAAGTATTCAAGGCCAAGCTGGATGGGACTGGTCTAATGGAAAGTCCACCACTTAGGGGATGGAACTAGATGATCTTTAAAGTCTCTTCCAACCCAGACCAATCTGTGATTCTGTAATATGTTGATCTACAGGTGGCATTTGGGCTCCTGCAGGCAAGGACAAGTGGAATTCAACCCCAGGTCCAGCCAACCAGTTGGATTCACTTACAGGCACATAATGACATTATACACAGAATACAGACACAGTTATTTCTCATCAGCCTTGAAATAAGCTGTATTTTTGGTAGCAGAGGGTGCCCCACCTCCAGCCTCACTCTTGTTCTGTAACCAGAGCTGGTGCATCAGTTGTTGCCTTGTACTCCAGATGATCCTGATTCCATTCCCACTGAGCTGCCTGCATTGCCTACGCTGTAGGATGGCTGTTCCCTGACAGCCTGACTGCATGGACAAAGCTCTTGTAAAGGTGCCTGAATTTGGGTGCCAGCCCTATTTCTGACCCTCAGGTCCACCTCTCCCTTTATGTGCCCCAATTTCCTTCTCCAAAACACAGTGATTCCAACACAAACATTTCCTTCCTTGCGGTCAGACGTGCTCTGGAAGTGTTGCAGGTTGTTGCTATTTCCAGGCCTGTCATTCTAACACATTTTGGCTGCACTAATTCCCTCAAACAGAAATTGTTCTGCCTGTCCTAGTCTGGGACAAAGCAGGCAATTAGCTGTCCCTTACACGTTTATTAACTCTGCAGCTTTCTTTCAATGACTATGTGAAATCCAGTAATGTTTAAATATATTTTCATAAACTGTGGGCACAACATATCCTGTTTCAGCTAATAACCGTGCCATATAATTAGACCTGATTACACAGATATTTAGTATCATTTTACATATTCCAGTCCTTTCCTAGTGCCACTGCCTAGCCAAGGCACATTTAAAGCTACAGCCATCTCCCTTCTGTTTCCCAGCAGTTTGCAACAATTCCTTTTGGAGGGGATTGCAGTTAACACAGCAGTTTCAAAGAACAATTTCATTTCACTGGTGTACATTTTAGATGTATGTGTATATATATATAGACACACATATATATACACACAGACGAAGGCTCTGATCAAATGTCAGGTGACAAAGCCCAGGATACAAATAGAAGGCATTTATCTACTTACAGGGGAAAGCTGGTATTTGAAATCCATCAGGAAATTAACAACATGAATCTTTAAAAATCTATTCCTTAAACATCTCTTGGCTTAGGGCTGAACATTGACTGTATTTAGGATTTTACTGTGAGGTAGCACCCTCCAAACAAAAGATCCCTCACTGCATTAGGCTCTGGTGGGGGGACAAGAAGAATTTGCTCTGTGCAACCTGATTAGAGATGTGTATCTTTCCCTGCTGGTATGGCTGTCTCTATAGAGATGGACATGGATATTTGATGAGATTAAAATGCTTCAGTTACCACTGTCAGTGGTTCTTTAAATTAAAATGAAGAAAGCAAACAACCATTCCTTTTGATGAGGTAACTGGATGATGCTATGGAAAAGCACTTTGCTGTCAGGTGGTAATTAGGTTCAGTAATAGTTGTGGGTTTTTAGCCTTGGAGGCTGTGGCCCCTGGGACTCTGAGAGAAATGATACATTCAATTTCCGGAGGAGAGGAAGATGCTGGATGCTGTTCTCTGCTAACCCTGCAGATAAGAGCATTCAGAACTGCAGTGCTGACAATCCTCCTTGAGCCAGCCTAAACTGTGGTGTCAAGATCACAAACAGAAAAGGGAGAGGGGCTCAAAGCAGGCCTAACACAGCAGCCTGGCTCTGACCACATATATAAGGAACTGCCAGAATGGCTGCAATGAGAGGATTTTTAAAGGCTGCAGAAGGAACTCCAGCAATTGCTCTCTGGTCTGAGCTGATATTTGTAACATCCATCTTACACATCACTAGAAAATCTTCAGTAGGGAAGTGTTCCTTTTCAGACAAGAAACATTCCCACAGCTATTCTTTTAAGGGAGAAAAAAAAGCAGGAAAATCTCAAGGCTCAGCTGCCTCCCTTGCCAATTTGGAATTGCCTTTTCTATTGCAAAATGTAAACTATATATATTGGTTGTGCTGTTAAGAGTTGAAACCCAAATGAACCATTACAATTGGTCCAAATGCATTTAACTGAAATTTTTCAGTTTGGAGGCATTATTGCTGTTTTCTCAGAACAGAGGCAAATACTGAATATGATGTTTCCCATTAAACAGGTGCTCAGGTTCCTGCTCTGCTCCCCTCTTCATGCCATTACACAGCTTTTCCAGCTCAAGGAATGCTGGTTCTCCATAAACAGCTCAGTGGTATCTCCCCTGCTCCTCACACAAGCTAAGGGGCACTGAAAGGATGCAGCTGGCCAAAACCAGAGCAGGACCAGCAGTGCTGCAGGGAGCCAAGCCTGGCCATTTCATGCCTTTGTGCCTTGCTCACCAGTGCCTGACTTCACATCCCACTTCCTTTTGGACTAACACCCACTGAGCTGGTTGTGAAACTGGAGTAGAGGAGAGGGGATCCCTGGGCAAAGTGTCCAGCTGGGCTGGCAGCAGGAACCTGCCACTGGCTGCCAGCACTGCAGCAGCTCCAAGGGGAGGGGGAGAACTCTGCCTCAGCACAGGCTTGCCAGTAACTTCCTGAAGCATTGAAAAAGTTTTCACTTCCAGAATTAAAACTTTGCAAAATAAAAGTGGGTCTGATTCGCTCTCAGGAGATAAATGAAGGGTAAGTCCATTAAAGATACTGGCGTGAGATTGGTGCACAGCAGACAGAATTCAGGAAAGATATCGATATCTCCAAAATCCTCTGAATATTTTTTCAGACATAAACCAGGTATCTTTCCTGATCATAAATGCTTTATTTCCAAATGGAATTTCAATAAAATAAGCACAGTTAGACTAGCACTTGTTATAAAGCCGTAATGCAGTAGCACTGAAGTTTAGTCAGGAAAGATATTAAAAGAGCAGCCCAGCTAAAGCGAGAGAAATTGCTTTCTGACCTACCGAGTTTTAGGAGTAGGTGCTAGTGGTCCCTCCACCAAGGAGTTCAGCCTGTAGTAATCCAAGAATGTCCTGGCCACATTTCTTCCAAGCTTCATATCTGTGAGTTTTTAATTAAGGAGCATTTAAAAAATCATTAAAAGTAATAATAACAATAATAATAATAATGAAATGAGCAGAGTCTAAAGGTAAGTTATTGCTATTTAATGCAAGAGCAAGTTTTACATCAACCATCCCACAGAGCTCAGGCTTTAGGCAAAAATGACTTACGCAGGCAGATAAGGTGGGGGTCATCCTGTTTGCTTCTTGTTTTCACAGGCAGATGCTGCATAAAAACCCAGACAGGAGGAAACAATCTCCCTTTCCCCCCATGCCTGGCTGCAGATCCCTATGGTTCTCATGAAATGCACTAGACAAAAGGGGCCCTCCAATTTTCACATTCAGGGAGAATAATTACCTTAAAATGCTTGGATACAGGCAGTGTTTCTGTATCCAGGATACAAGGTCAGCTATACCACGGTGTGAACCTGCCATGGACCCGTGTACTGAAGGTTGGGATTAATGCTGAAGCCCTCCACACCTTTAGCTCTGACCCCCAGAGTGTCGTGGGAGAATTCACTGTTCTTTCCCTGTGTTGTATTCAGGGCCTGAAATGGTGATTTTAGCACTGACCTGGAAGGACAGTAGGTTACCTTAACAAGTTCAGCAGTAGGTCTGGTGTGTCTTCTCACCAGCCACGATTTCTCCTTCAGCTGGCCCCTAAACCCAGCATTAGGCAGGTGCTGCACATCAAAGCTGCCATGGAGACCTCAGGGGCACAGGAACCAGACCTTCCTGAAGACTCAGCTGCTTACAAAAAAGTTGAATAACCTGTGGATTGCCCTGAAAAACAATATCCCAGACAACATGTCCATGGAGTGAATCTGCTGCTGATGTGAAAAGTCAGCATTAAATCTGCCTGTTACAGAGCAGCATCTCCTTATCATCCACAGGGTGATGTCCAGCTGGGAGATACCCAGTGGACTCCATTATCCACAGCTGTGTTTTGGGGGCTGAAGGCTCCTTTATTTGCCTGTTTTGAACTGATACCCACCCAGGCTGCAATAATCACAGGGTGCCCCAGGGCACTGCCCCAGAGGGTTGTGGTGAGGAGCATTTCAGCAGGGCTGCTGCAGCAGCTGAGGTGGGTACAGATCCTGGGGAGTCTGAAGGGATCTCTGCATCCAACACCCAGCAGTCCAGGAGGATAAACCATTGCTGGGTTGTTTTGTGTGCATGTATGCATGTTCTGCTTGATCAGTAGTTATCTGCTGATGTTTCCATTAGAGGAAAATTCCAGAAGTGCAGCATCCCAGGGGCTTCCAGCAGCGCCACTGAAGACACTGGCTTCTAAATGAAGCTTTTATTACCCGCCCACTTACATTAGACACATCAAAACAAGTGAGCCTGAGACATCAGGTTCACACAGCACTGTGAGATCTATTTATCATTTATTTATTTATTTATAAGGAAGGTCAAGCCAACGTGACAGTCTTTACTTCTGCAAAAATACAGACACCAGCTCTAGCAGTCAGGTCTAGTGGCTGAGGATCACTCCTGACATTGCTCTTCTCTCCAATGATCTTATCCTGCTTTTCCAGCTCCCACCGCTGTGCCTGGGGATGGTTCCATGGATCTGTCCCTCCTGAGGGTCTGTCCTGACACACTCATAATACCACGTGTGCTGTGGGCACCTCTGTTCTCCTGGCCAGCAGCAGGGCAGAGCTGGAGCAGCTGGTGCTCCCAGCTGTTGTCTGCATGGACAGGGAGAGGGAGCCCTGTGGACCAGCAAGGGCTGTGTGGACCAGCACGGGCTGTGTGGATCAGCACGGGCTGTGTGGATCAGCACCAGCTGTTCCCCAGCTGTGGTAGTGCCCAGCGAGCGTTGTCTGCATGGACAGGGAGCTGTGTGGACCAGCACGGGCTGTGTGGACCAGCACAGGCAGTGTGGATCAGCACCAGCTGTTCCCCAGCTGTGGTAGTGCCCAGCGAGCTCCCCTTGCCACCTACCAGCACTGCTGGGTGAGGCCAGCCCTGCATGCAGGGAGGCTCAGAAAGTTGGAGACAGCCTGAAGTTTAGCAATTCGAGGGAGGGCAGTGTTGCTCTGAAAGTGTTTTGTGATTGTTTCTGGAATTTGGGGATGGCTGGGGGTAGTCTGGTTGCTGCGGATGTGGACTCAAAGCGGTGGCGAAGGTTAAGAGTTCAGAGTAGTCTGTGGAAGCGAGGAAGAAGGGGAGAGGGCTGTCAGGCACTTAAGGGATTGAGAAGACTAACATGGCTTGATCTTGTAGTTTCTTTCATTTACTCGTCACTTTAAAGACATAAAGTGGTAATTGGACTCAGTAAAGTCTCGAGGACATTTTGTCAGTGGCAGTCTCAGAAAGCTCCTCTGCCAGAAGTGGCCCTGCTGCCCTTTTCTTTGTCTCTCTGCATTGCTTTTGTTTGCACGGTGGGAAGCACCTGACCTGCTGTCCTAGGGGAGGAAGCCCTTGGATGGCAGTGGGTGCAGCCCAGGAAGTGGCTCCACAAGCTCCTGCATTACCTCCCTGCCTTAACCCTGACCTGCAGGAATCCAGTTCCACTGCTGAGCTCAGGTCTTAGGAACAGCTTTCTGAAGCTGAGGACAGCTAACCACTGGGATAACCTACTTTAGCATGTCAGGAAATCTCCAGACCAGGGGTCTTCAAGAACAGGCTAAACCCACAGCAGACATGAATGGTTTAGATGTAACTGGTGCTGCATGAAATTTGGGTAAGGAAACATAAAAGGGCCTCTTAGGCCATTTCACCCCATTTTCCTACATTTCTGAACATATTTTGCAACCCACATGAAGACCTGTTGCTAAGATTCCTAAGAAAGGTAAGGGCATTTTGTAGAGCATTGACATAGATAGAGAGCGTGAAGAAACTGGAAATGCAGTGCCACATGCATCCACCAAAACTTCACAAAATGGGAATAGTTTGCAGTCAGCAATGATGAAAAGAGACTCAAACCAGCATGGGATAAAAAATGTGCATGTTCTAATGCTAGTCTCTCCAGCCATCCTGCCCCCTCTGCTCTGCCTGTCACTTCTGCAAGGGATGAGCAGTTTCTGTCATGGAAATCAGGCACCTGATACATAAAACCAGGGGCAGAGCATCAGTCTCTCCCTGTGACTGTCCAGCCTGGGCAAGAGCTGGAGTGCCTCCCTCAGCAAGCGCCAGCAGCACGTGTGTGCAGAACCGGCAGAGGAAAACAAATTAAAGCAATAACATTTGCATTTATCTCTGGTGCACGGAACGCTCAAACTCCACTTTGGCTTATAGTGTATCCTGAGCACATAAATAACAGCTACTGCAACCCAAACCCACTTCTACTGGGTGGTTTGGTCGCTTGGTTGGTTTTTAACCAGCTTCCTTTCTGCAGTCACACGTGCTGTGTGCCCACAGGAACTCCCTTTCTAGCCTGAACTGCACTTGACAGAAGGCCATTTCCCAGCTATTCCCATCATGGGAGCTCAGCTCACACAAGACAGTCAAAATGTATTTGGGAAAGTCATGTTGGAAACAGCTGGGTGTGTCCTTACCTTCACTAGCGTCTGCAGCTCCCTCTCATCTCTCTTTCTCCTCCACAGACTCATTCCTCCATACTCCATATTTCCACTTGGAAGTGGAAACCAGTGTCTCTCCTGCAAACGCCCTTCTCACAGCATTCACTCTGTGAATGGCACCAGCAGATTTGGGGAGATTTCAGGACAGTCTGTTTATGCACCACTCTGCCAAATTTCACAGATGTTCAGAGGTTCAAGAATTGTGCTGGGCTCTCTGCAAAATCCTGCACATTTATGATCCCTACCATGCCCCACAGCCTAGAGCTTCCAGCCCTGGTAAGAAAGGAGGACAGAGGAGTGGGGACTCTCACAAGCCATTACTAGTTTTCAGCTGACACGATTCATTGAGCCTATTGTGAACAGTCTGCTTAAGCTCCAGCCTCTGGAAGCGCAGACAGAGCCTTGTTCTGTCTGTGCATGGAGGCAATAAAAATCTCAATTTGGAAACCAGTTAGCAGTACAAGTCATTAGGGGAGGTACTAAATGTTGCTGCTTTAATAGCTCACTGATCCTTTAATAATGTCACTGCTGCAGAGCGTGGTGGCACCATTCGCTCGCTTTTGTTTTGCTTTTTGAAATTCAGGGTCATTCCACTTTCAAGTGAGTGGATTATCTCTCTTTCCTCCTTCTGCCAGACACTGCAAACTGCTTTAAATAATTAGAAAAAAGGATGGCTCCTTCAAATTCACCATCTCATTTTCATAAGGTCCAGTGTCATTGCTTTGGAACAGGAAGAGAAACCGTGATGGTGGTAAGGATTTGACAAGGGCAAAACAGTTAGCAGCCCCCACTCATCTTTGATAAGTCCTGTGGGGTCTCTGCCAAGCAGATTGGATCTCTGGTTTTATGTCTCATCTAGAGGACGGCACCTCCATCAATTTGAAACACTGCACTGGGTTATTAGCTTATGGAATTCATCCAAGTTTAATCCTAAGTAGGATTTGAAATGCGACCATTCAGTCCAGAGGCACCATTGACCAGACCCACGCAAGTCCTTTGTTTCAGACAAACAGCTTTAAGTTATCCTAAAGACAGACAGAGAGGAAGAAAAAAAAATAGAAAGACAGAAAGAGGGTAAGGAAAATGAGAACAAAGAGAAAAATGAATCTTTTTAATAGCTCGAATTAAAAACCAGAAGAAGCTCTTTGTTTGACACAACTGAATTTTATAGCAAATCTCAGTCCACCACAACGACGATCCTGTTATTTATGAAAAGAGGGTTATTTTGTTTGGGAGAGTCCCAGATGACTGTGGTCAGCGAGCATACTGTCAGCTTCACACAATCTCAAGAGAAATATGGATGAGGTTTTCTCATCTGTTTAGAACAGCTTCCATCAATGGATCAAACCCCTTCCTGACTCGAACAAGAGCTCTAATGGAAAATGGCATTACAGGGCTTTAAACCACCATGTTATATCATGCCAAGCCTGATCAGAGCTAGTCCTCTATTTCAGCAGAGCTGTTTTCACCA